ATATTTATCCATCCAAACCTTGTTGGGTATCAATGTTATACCTAACAGTGTGTGTAACTTTAACTGCAAGAATGTAATTAAGGGTGTGGTTGTAAAAGCACTATATAAGAAGCGAGGCAATAGCAGCTCTCTCTCTCTGGCTTACTGATCCCTAATTACTGGATGGATTGATGACTGCATTCTTGCTGGAACGGGGAGAGAAAAAGGAGTGTTGATTTTTCTCAACGGAGAGAAGATAAAGATTGGACTGATTTATTGTAAGTGAACTGACATTGGCTATTCAACACGGACTTTGCAAATAGAGTATCCCCGACAAGACTTGACTGAAATTGATATATGACTAATGGACCGTTTATTTTTGACTATGCTATAATTCTTAAATGGAATAAACTATATTTTTGATAGCACAAGCGTATCTGTATTTTTACTGCGTGTTAACTAGAAAACTTATCTCACACATTTACCTGTCTTCCTATCTGACTTCGCTGCACGTTCTGTTTAGTTTGTTTTCCTTAACACCCGTTGGGGAATCCAGGCTTAACAAGTTCCCTTATACCATAAAAAAGCATGCCAACCCAACAGCAAGTCATGACCTTCTAATGTCAACAATCTGGTCTTTCTTAATGTTATCCATTCCTTAACCCACATCAAACTTGCAGCTTGATAGTACAATTCCCAATTGGGCAGGCCAAAACCTCCTCTAATTCTAGCATCTTGCAAAAGCTTTAGCTTTATTCTCGCTTTCTTACCTTGCCATATATACTTCAACATAATTTTATTTAAATCATCAAAATAGTCTTTTCCGAGCCTAATTGGTATTGTTTGAAAGAGAAATAGGATTCTGGGTAAAATATTCATCTTAATTGTTGAAATTCTCCCTATTAATGACAGTTGCAAGTTTTCCCATTTCTTCAAGTCTATAGCTATCTGTTGTTTAAGTTTAATATAATTATTCTCTTTTAATGTGCTACATCTTGCTGTCAAATGTATCCCCAGATACTTAACCTTATTCGTAACTTGGATTTTCAACAGGTCTGCCAGTTCTTCTCTTTGTCTCAGTAGCATGTTCTTTGTCAAAATCTTTGTTTTGTCTTTATTTATTTTCAAACCAGCCACCTCACCATATATCTCAATCTTTTCCAATAACTTTGGAGCTGTTTCTAGCGGATCTTCCAAAATAAAGACTAAGTCGTCAGCAAAAGCTTGCAGTTTAAATTCTTCCTTTTTAATTTTCATTCCTTTTATGCTTTTATCATCTCTAATATTTCTATTCAACACTTCCAAAGTCAATACAAATAGCAAAGGAGATAGGGGACATCCTTGTCTTGTGCCTTTTCTTATATTAATAAAATCAGTAAGTTCTCCCTCCATCATTACCTTTGCTGTCTGTTTATTGTATATGGCTTCTATTGCTTGGACAAATTTTCTGGCAAAACCCATCTGTTCCAATAGT